GAGGAAGGAAATACTAACCCACTTCCAGGTCCTGAAAATGTGAGTCACAAGAACCTGTTTCTAAAAAATCTCCTACAGAAATTTCTAACTTTAGTTTTCCCACTTCTTTTACTCTGTGAGATAGGGTTAGTAGAGGAGAATTTTTAAGGCTTGGGAAATAAAGTTAAGTCTAGACAAGAGCTTCAAGTTCTTTTTGCTTGGACAACTGGGAAAACAAGAAGGCAAGCTTCTTGAGGCCAGGGCCCAGTATGCCTAGAGTTCAGTGGACCACACTCTCTAAATTTGTTGAGAACAATGACGGAATCTGGTGCTGTTCCTCCTTTCTCCAAGGCAGTAGCCAAGAGATAAAACAGGCCAGTGTGCAGTATGCAAAGCTGTCACTCAGATCTCCCACTTGCCTAAGGTAGCATTTGATTGGGTTTTGCATGACTGGTTTACACTCTTCAAATATTTATAGACAGTTCTCTTTGCCTCTAGCCCTAGTTGTCACTTAGCCAAGTTATACATACATAGTTCTTTTAATCTTTTCTTAGAAATCAATCCCACAAAGCTCCTTAATCATTCTAGTTGCTTTTCTTTCAACTTTTGGCTGTTTGTCTTTCTGGTGATTTATTCTGTTGGAAAGCATAAAAATAAACTGGGGGTGAAACATGAGGAGTTTAGATACCTTTTGTTTCAAGGTTGAATGCCTTTTATGTCCAAAATAAAACTACCTTCTTTTGTATGATCACATTAAAAAAATTCATATTTAAGTTGATGGATCAACTAATATACTATTACCAAGAGAAAGGAAGGAAAACTATCATCAGTATTATATTCTCTAAGGATAATCTGGTCATGGACTGAACCCTCTCAGGTATCCATAATTAACTGGTCTAACCTATACTATCTGAATATGGGAAATGGAGAGGCTCAGGTGCCCATTCTAAAGTACTGTCTATCTCTGGATAGTTCTGGTTACCTTTAGTTTCAAAATTAAAAAAAAATTGAAAAAAAATTAATTTTTTATCATTATAATAATACATTATAGAAATTTTCTAATATTAATCACTGGACATGGGAAAATTTATCCATGGTCTACTCCCAAAGGCAACAATTAGCATTTTTAATTACTGTATCTTAAGCAGAAAGAATTGTGTGTATTTATTATGTACAACATGACATTCTGAAGCACAGATACAGTCATATCTTGTTTTATTGTGCTTCCCAGATACTGGGTATTTTTCAAATTGAAATGGTACCCTGGGTTGTGCCATTCTGTGGGCATCATTTGTTCTATAGCATATGTTCACTTTGTGTCTCTTTGTCATATGTTGGTAATTCTCACAGTATTTCAAACTTTTTCATTATTGTTATATCTGTTATGGTGATCTATGATCTTTGATGTTACTATTGTAATTATTTTGGTCACCATAAACTGTACACTTATAGGACTAAAAACATAAGTTGTCTATGTTCTCACTGTTCCAAAGACCACTCTTTCCTCCATCTCTCTCCTCCTCCCCGTTCCTCAAGACACAGTAACATTGAAATTAAGCCAGTTGACTACCCTACATTGGCCTCTAAATGTTCAAGGGAAAAGAAGAGTCTCACATCTCTCACTGTATGTAGATCAAAAGCTAGAAATGATTAAGTTTGGTGAGAAAGGGATGTTGAAAGCTGAGATAGGTTGACAGCTAGACCTCCTTGTGCTGAACGGTTAGGCAAGTTGTGAGTGCACAGAAAAAGTTCTTTGAAGGAAATTAAAAGTACTACTCCAGTGAACACACAAATGATAAGAAAGCAGCAAATCTGCTTCATTGCTGATACAAGAAAGTTTTGGATGGTCTGGATAGAAGATTAAACCAGCCCCCACATTCCCTTAAGTCAAAATCAAATCCAGACTAAGACCCTAATTCTCTCTTTAATTCTGTGAAGGCTGAAAGAGGTGAGGAAGCTGCAGAAGAAAAACTGGCACCTAGCACAGGTTGGGTCATGAGGTTTAAGGAAAGAAGCTGTTTCTGTAACATAAAAGCGCAAGATAAAGCAGCAAGTGCTGACGGAGAAACTGCAGCAAGTGATCCCAAAGATCTAGCTAAGATAAATGAGGAAGGTGGCTGCACTAAACAAAAGATTCCCAGTGTAGATGAAGCAGCCTTCTATTGGAAGAAGATGCCATTCTGGACCTTCATAGCTAGAGAGGAGAAGTCAAGGCCTGGCTTCAAAGCTTCAAAGGACAGGCTCTCTTTGTTAGGGCCTAATGCGGCTGGTGACTAAGTCGAAGCCAGTACTTATTTACCAGTCTGAAAATCCAGGGGCACTTAGGAATTAAATTTACTCTACATGTACTCTGCCTGTGCTCTGTAAGTGAGAC